TCAGCTCTATCAAAATAAATCCCAAAAATACCTATGATAATTGCTCATGAGTTAATTTTTAACATAAAATAATTATACTATCTCTTTCTCCAAGACTGAGCCCACAAAGTCTCTTTTACTGGAGTGGGTAACCATTTCTAAAAGTTTTAATCACAATAAACACCAGTATTCTGTTAATGGAGGCAAAAAACCACAGTGGAAAACCCTGTTAAATGGTAAGTGTGAATCTATCATTGTTTGCTCTGGAAACATAAGATTCAGGGTATGCAAATCCAAGAGGGATCTACAAGCTTGTGATTGTAGATGTTTGTTATTACTACTGTGGAAGTGTGTGTGAGTTCAAGTATGGCTATGTGCATGCCAGTATGCATGAGAGGTCATAGGACCTTTTCCCAGACTCTCCTCTCCTCTTCCCTAATGGGTTTCAGGCTTGTGTAGCAAGAGCTTTTACCCACATTAAGCCATCTCACCAGCCTCTTAAATGTTTAAATATTCACTTAGCTTAGGGAAAAAAAATGTAACTGAAAGGTTCTATAAAAGCTAAGAATCACAGCCAAGTTCATATCTTCCCTTTGTATTAATAATGAGTATTATCTGATTCTACTCAAAGAAAAAATTTTCATGAAGATGGTACCATCTCAAGATTTTGCCCTATGTACACATCCACAGAAAATACATCTCTCCTATGCTACAAATTAAGTGACATCAAATTAATCTGAAAAACTAAGAAAAATCAATATACAAAACAAACATTTCCTAGCTTATACACTTTTCGTACATTTCCTAGCTTATACAATGCTATTTTAGTTCTTACAGACAATCCTTCACACACAGAGGAAGTCCCTCAGAAAACAAGAATTTACGGACTAGCACAGTCCATGGCAGCCCTTGCAAAAGACTAAAAGTGTCCCCATTTCTTGTACAAGACCTCAGATTTTTAAATTTTTATTTCATCCTACTTTATTATAATTATTTGTTTTCTTAAAATGTTTAATGTAATTATCAATACTTATCTCGTCTCAACAGAGTAAAACTTACACCACAGATAGACATATTCCTTTCAGTTAGCACCTATTAAAACATCAAACTGTGAGAACAGTAAGATTGACTCTTAAAAATAACCCTTTTGATAATTTAAAATTAAAAGTAGGCCATCTGGTGCTTATCATAGGCTGTGCTCTCATTACATAGAAGGGGAAGGCAGAGTAAATCTACCTAATACACTTAACCCAAGTCCTGCATTTGGGGATAGATGGAGAAACAGAAGAAGAAAACAAACAAAAAACAACAATGAAATCCCACGATCAATGAATCCTAATTACTTTTCACAGAAATATTAACAATTTTGTTATAAATAAACTGGAAATAAAAAGGTGTAAAATAAGTGGACACCATCAACAGTTTCCAGCTTTGATGGTTTCTGAGGCAGGGTCACACATCAGTCCAAGATGGACTAGAATTTGCAATCTCCTGCCTCAACCTCCTCCAAAAAAGTGTTGGAATTATAAATGTAGAACACCATGCTCACTTAAACAAAAGTTTTTAAAAAAGGTTATCATCTCAGTTTTCAATGGATTATCAGCATTTCAGTGAATCATGAATATTACTTGTTATAAATTACTAATCCAAAGAAAAATCATATTGCTTTTCTGTAAGGAAAATTCAAAACAAATCATGTCTCTAGGTTCAGCTTCGCTTTACTTGGTCTCATGAAAACACACTGACAGAGTGCTAAAGCACAAAGCTCACTTGACTTAGAAAAGCTAAAGAAAAGACCTCCTAAGCGAAGAATAAAGGAGTATAGAGACTTATCTCCTCCAACTAACCAACAGGAGGAGTTAGGAGGCCACCAGAAGAAACACCAAGTTAACCTTACAGTCTACATCATGATAGATGCACTCACAACAACATGGACACCATGTCTAACAGATAAGTGCTGAGTCCACAGGGGAACTGCCCATGCTACTGTCTAAAAGGAGAAAGAACAACAGATCTATAACTAAACAGGAAACTAAAGTTAAGTTCTGAATACTCCATATAAAATTAAGTCAGTAATGTTTAATCTTCCTTTCTCTCAAATATTATGCTAAGCACAAGAAGACATTTCTCAAGATGAAAGAGATTTTCTTCTAAAGTAAAATTTTCTGTTACTGATGTTTACACACCCCCAAATAAAAACTCATGAAGTTACATACAAACAGCACACATTCTCTCTCTCCTTCCCCATACACATATATACACCCAGACCTGCATGGGTGAACTGAACACATAGGAGGTGGTGGGAGATGAGGATGATTTTCAATGGTCACAGTTTTCTTCACATGATCTTGACTGATGTCTTCATACATGTGCTCAACTGTTAAAGGCTGCCGTTGCTGAAAGCATAAAAAATGCTCTGAAACCACTAGTTAAACTTTCAGCTTACCTGTTTATTGAGCTCTGTGATGGAAGCCATCACTTAATGTTGCAAGATGTCACAAATAGGTAAGTTTATAGACAAAAACATTTAAAAATGTACTTGTTAGGCAAAAAATGAGCTTTTTTTTGCTTCCTTTTGACAGTCATAGAATGACAAGTAAGCTGGTCTTATTTTGACTATTCAATTCAATATCAGCAGACTAAAAAGTGGTAAGGGAAATACTGCCAAACATAATCATTTTGTAAATGTTTACATATTCCACAAATGTAACCCTGACAAAATAGAAGGAACTCTACAGAGTTCAGCTTCTCATACTTTAAAGAGATCAGTTTAGAGGAAATGAGTCAGGAGTTAGCACACAAATTTTCAATGCTTTGCACTGTCACAATGAATAGTTTATTCTAAATGTGAGTCAAGTTCAATATCATAAAACTGTAAAACAAATGATTTCAAAACTTTGAAAGACTACCTATATTCATATATCTAATAAAGAAATTGGATTAAATTCACCAATTTAAAACATGTACATTTCTTTCTATTTTTACCTCATCATAGCCAAACAACCATAGCCGTGGTGTCTGGTAATATTTGTCATAAGTGATATACAGGTCATAAGTTCTTGTTTGCAAAATAGCATCTTCACCTCCAGCATCAGCTTTAGTTTTACATGCTTCAACTATTTTTCTTGTGTCTAGGGTAGCCTGTTACACAACAATGGGAAAAAATTAGAGCCATTAAAAAGTATTTTGAAACACCATTACCAATATTAAAAACACTAACTCCCAAGTTCACTCATAAAAATCATCTTAAAAATTTACAAACCTCATCTGTTTCCAACAATCCACTCTCTTCATATTCTTATATGAAAAAGAAAATGGAAGAAAAATGTTAACTGAGTTAAACTTAATGTTTCAAGACTTAACTTTTTCAGTTTGATATATTATCAGCAAAGTAACATGGGTTTTTCTTCTTGAAATTTAATAGACAGTTTTTGTCTCACTATAGAACTTACAACCTCGGTATAAGATTTTTCTGTTTTTATCAAATCATGAGCTTCCATTGTCTCACTTAAAGTACTTTACAGACTCTCTCAAACATACCCAAATGGCATACTGTGCCCTTTGAGGCTGTTATTAAGTAAAATAAGCCTTACTTGAACACAAGCATTGTGACACCATTACAATGGCCATGATAACTGAGGTGCTTACATGTCATATAGCCTACAGTACGAATATGCCAGACAAAAGAATGACATATATCATGGATGAAAGACACTGGACAGTATAAAGTGTCATCATTTTATTCAGAAAGCATGCAACTTCAAACCTGAAGCTGTCATTTTCTGGAATTCTTTCCATTTAATATTTTCAAGTCACAGTTGATAGCAGGAAATGGAAACCAGTGATAAGGTTAACAACTGCAGCTAGCTGCCTACAGTGTGTTCTTTAAAGCTATGTGTGATTTCAGTTTCATTGTGCCCAGGGGTAAATTACTAGTTTACACCTTAGTGAACTCACAGGCCACTTATGAACCATTGTGACTTATTCCTGTGCCCTTAGAACACTTTCTTTCCTTGGCCCCTACTGAACACCATAAGGAGATTCTGCTCAAAAACAAAACTACTATCTTTCCAAGTCTAAAAGCACAGGATTACACTTAGAATACTAAGGTGAGAAGAATTTCTTGAGCCTGGGTGTCTTAAACCCTGCCAAGACAATAAAATGAGATGCTGCTTACTGCATCATCCGAGTTCTATTTATGATCAATAACCCTAGTAGAAATAATGCTCTTAAAATTATGTTCAAAGTAAACTAGAAGAAGAACCTAAAATCAAAGTCAGTTTTACCTTGATCTGATAAAATTTAAAATAAAACAAAATACTCACTAGGCAACAGAAGAGAATTCTCAATTCACATGCATTATAACTATTCCAGAATCAACAGTCTAAGGGAATAAAGCAAATCCAAAATAGTAATACCTTCCATGTCTGCAGCTTCCCCTTCATCTTCATCTTCTTCCTCATCACACAGGGCTGAGCAATCTTGAAGCTTTATACTGTCCTTTGAAATTAATTATATTTAAGTGATGCAAATGTATATTACAACATACCTAACATGAAATTGTTATCAGAGATATTTATTGATTTCCTTCACAAACATTAATGGAAAGCATATCGCTTACATAGTCTTGTTCTTGGCACCAGTGATACAAAAGTGAAGAAAACTGACTCAGTCTCCTTCCTCTGATTGTCTAACTGTGTTTTTTCTGTGAGTAGTTTTGCAACTGTAGATCACTTAGTGATGAGAACACATTCTGAGAAATGCTGCTAGATGACTTCAATAATTTAAGACCACAGAGTGTAACTAAGGTAACCTTGACATCTCTACAAGATAGCATCTTACATAACCTCCAGCATTAGTGTGGTCATCTTCATAAACATTCACACTGACCACTGAGCAAAATGGTAAGAAAGCAATGTAAAGTCAAGTGTCATCTAATCAGGCACTTTATGCCCCCTAGAAATTCACTTACCAATGACAATGACAAACCCATAAATAAATCATTGGAAACAGCATACTAAGTGCTACATACTAACACATATATTAAAACTGGAACAACACAAAGAAAATTTATCCAATCCCTACATAAGGATGAAATGGAAATTAATGAAGCATTCCATTTTTTTATTTGTTTTTTTTAAAGGCAGGTGTTCTGTATTTTTCATAGCATTTCCAGCAATCATATAAAAATATGAAGATGGATACAGTTATTCTGAGAAAAGAACTAATAAACCAAAGTAAATGAAAGCATACTAGCAGAAAAGTCTCACCCAATTATATTGACACTACTTGTCCAAACTTACATGATTAAATGACATTATTCAAAGTGCCACCATCTTGGCAAAAGTAAAGTACACATTTAAACCTCTAAAAGCAGAATTTAAGAAGTTACTACTAGTATTAAAGAAATAGAATAATAGGATTGCATAGAATAAACTACAAAATGTATAGTAATAAAACATCAGCAAAGATACCCCTCACAAACCAAAAAAAAAAAAAAAAAGGGCAGGAAATGGAAGAAAAAACAAACCAAAAAATACAAGAACTGGAAGAAAACGCAAACCAAAAAATGCAAGGAATGGAAGAAAGAACAACCCAACAAATAAATAAAATGCAACAAATGGACGAAAAGATAAACTAAAAATTGCAAGAAACAATGCAAACAGTGCAAGGGTTGAAAACTGAAATAGAGACAATAAAAAAACACAATCTGAAGAAAGACTGGAAAGAGAAAGGCTGCGCAAATGGTCAGATACTACCGATACAAGCATTACCAACAGAATACAAGAGATGGAAGAAAGATCTTAGGTGTTGAAGATACACTAGGAGACATGGATTCATCAACCAAAGAAAATCTTAAGTCCAACAAATCCTTAACACAAAACATCCAGGAAATATGGGACACCATGAAAAGACCAAACCTAAGAATAATAGGTATAGAAGAAAGTGAAGAAAACAACCTCAAAGGGGCAGAAAACATTCGACAAAATCATACAAGAAAACTTTCCCAACCTTAAGAAAGACAGTCCAATGAAGGTACAAGAAGCCTAAAGAACACCAAATAGAGTGGATCACAAAAAGATGTCCCCTCACCACAAAATAATCAAGATGCCAAATATACAGAATAAAGAAAGAATATTAAGAGCAGCTAAGGAAAAAGGCCAAGTAACATATAAAGGCAAACCTATCAGAATTACACCTGACTTCTCCATGGAAACTCTGAAAGCCAGAAGGTCCTGGATAGATATTCTACCAACACTAAGAGACCATGGATGCCAGCCCAGACTACTATACCTGGCAAAGCTCTCAATCACTATAGATGGAGAAAACAAGATATTCCATGACAAAACTAGATTCAAGCAATACGTATCCACTAACCCAGCCCTACACAAAGTTTTGGAAGGAAAACACCAACCCAAGGAAGCTAACTACAACCAAAAAACATAGGAATTAGAATCCCTCTCTACCAACAGCCAAAAGAACAAAGGGGTGAAATTCCACACATAATTCCACCAACAACAGCCATTCCAAATCAAAGAAAAATGAGCAATCAATGGTCATTAATATCCCTCAACATTAATGGCCTTAACTCACCCATAAAAAGACACAGGCTAGCAGAATGGATTCGAAGACAGAACCCATCCTTCTGCTGCATACAAGGAACACACCTCACCCTCAAAGACAGACATTATCTGAGAGTTAAAGGTTTGGAAAAATTTTTCCAATCAAATGGACCCAAGAAACAAGCATGGGTAGCAATCCGAATATCTAACAAATTAGACTTTAAAATAAAATCAATCAAAAGAGATGAAGGAGGTCATTACATACTCATAACAGGCGAAATCCACCAAGATGAACTGTCTATCCTGAACATCTATGCCCCAAATACAAAGGCATCCGCATACGTAAAAGAAACATTACTAAAACTTAAATCACATATAAAGCCCCACACACTTATAGTGGGAGATTGCAACATACCACTCTCACCACTAGACAGGAATACCAGACAGAAATTCAACAAAGAAGCAAAGGGTCTAATAGAAGTAATGACCCAACTGGGATTAACAGATATCTATAGAACATTTCATCCACATAAAAAAGAATATACCTTCTTCTCACCACCACATGGAACCTTCTCAAAAATAGACCGCATACTTGGCAACATATCAAACCTCAGCAGCTTAAAAAAAAATTGGAATAACTCCATGCATCTTATCAGACCACCATGCTTTAAAATTACAATTCAACAACAACACAAATTGCAGAAAACCTACAAACTCATGGAAATTGAATAATACACAACTGAACCATTCCTGGGTCAAAGAAGATAAAAAAAGAAAATAAAAACTTCCTAGAATTCAATGAGAATGAAGACACAACATACCCAAACCTATGGGACACTTTAAAAGCAGTGCTACGGGGGAAGTTCATAGCACTAAGTGCTATGTTGGTTTGCTGTATATAGCTTTTATTATGTTTAGGTATGTTCCTGTTATCCCAGATCTCTCCAAGACCTTTATCATGAAGGGGTGTTGGATTTTGTCAAAGGCTTTTTCAGCATCTAGTGAGATGATCATGTGATTTTGTTTTTCAGCTTGTTTATATGGTGGATTACATTGATGGATTTTCGTATGTTGAACCACATGAAGAAACTGGAAAATAGTTATACTAGAGAATTAACAGCATAGCTGAAAGCTCTAGAACACAAAGAAGCAAACTCCCCCAGGAGGAGTAGACGCCAGGAAATAATCAAATTGAGGGCTAAAATCAATAAAGTAGAAACTAGGAAAACAATACAAAGAATCAATGCAACGAAGAGTTGGTTCTTTGAGAAAAATCAACAAGATAGACAAACCTTTGTCCAAATTTACCAAACAGCAGAGTGTGAACATGCAAATTAACAAAATCAGAAATGAAAAGGGGGACATAACAATGGACTCTGAGGAAATTCAGAGAACCATCAGGTCATACTCTGAAAACCTGTACTCCACAAAATTCGAAAATTTAAAGGAAATGGACGACTTCCTGGATAGCTATCACTTGCCAAAATTAAATCAAGAACAGATAAGCAATTTAAATAGACCTATAACCCCTATGGAAATAGAAGCAGTCATCAAAAGTCTCCCAACCAAAAAAAGCCCAGGTCCAGATGGCCTCAGTGCAGAATTCTACCAGAAATTCAAAGAACAGTTTATACCAATGCTTCTCAAAGTATTCCACGAAATAGAAGCAGAAGGGTCTTTGCCAAACTCTTTCTAGGAGGCTTCAATAACCTTGAATCCCAAGCCACACAAAGACAAAACTAAGAAAGAGAACTTCAGACCAATATCCCTCATGAACATTGATGCAAAAATACTCAATAAAATACTGGCAAATCAGATCCAAGAACACATCAAAACAATCATTCACCACAATCAAATAGGTTTCATCCCAGGGATGCAGGGATGGTTCAACATACGAAAATCCATCAATGTAATCCACCATATAAACAAGCTGAAAAACAAAATCACATGATCATCTCACTAGATGCTGAAAAAGCCTTTGACAAAATCCAACACCCCTTCATGATAAAGGTCTTGGAGAGATCTGGGATAACAGGAACATACCTAAACATAATAAAAGCTATATACAGCAAACCAACAGCCAACATCTAACTAAATGGACAGAAACTCAACGCAATTCCTCTAAAATCAGGAACAAGACAAGGCTGTCCACTCTCTCCATACCTTTTCAACAGGGTACTTGAAGTTCTAGCCAGAGCCATATGACAAAAAAAGGGGATCAAGGGGATACAAATTGGGAAGGAAGAGGACAAACTTCCACTATTTGCAGATGATATGATAGTTTACATAAATGACCCAAAGAACTCTACCAGGAAACTCTTACAGCTGACTATCACCTTCAGCAAAGTGGCAGGCTACAAGATCAACTCAAGAAAATCAGTAGCCCTACTATATACAGATGATAAAAGGGCTGAGAAAGAAATCAGAGAAACATCACCCTTTACAATTGCCACAAACAACATAAAATACCTTGGGGTAACGCTAACCAAACAAGTGAAAGACCTGTATCGCAAGAACTTTGAATCTTTAAAGAAAGAAATCAAGGAAACCCTCAGAAAATAGAAAGATCGCCCTTGCTCGTAGATAGGTAGGATCAATGTAGTAAAAATGTCAATCCAGCCAAGAGCAATCTACAAATTCAATGCAATCCCCATTAAAATCCCAGCACAATTCTTCACACACCTTGAAAGAACAATAATCAATTTTGTATGGAAAAACAAAAGACCCAGGATAGCCAAAACAACCCTGTTCAACAAGGCAACATCCGGAGGCATCACCATCCCTGACTTCAAGCTCTATTATAGAGCTATAGTCCTGAAAACAGCTTGGTATTGGCACAAAATAGACAGGTAGACCAATGGAATCGAATTGAAAACCCTGATATTAACCCACACATGTATGAACATCTGATCTTTGACAAAGAAGCTAAAAATATACAATGGAAAAAAAGAAAGCATCTTCAACAAATGGTGCTGGCATAACTGGAGGCTTGTTGGGGAAGTCCTGTGTATATGTTAACAAATTACTGCTGGCCAATAGGAATCTAGATAGGTGGGGCTAGGAGTCCAGGAGGATTCTGGGAAGGAGAAACACAAGGGAGTTCGAGATGTAACGCCATTGGGGTAGGAAGCCCGGAAACCTCTCCGGTAAGAGACATACTTAGATTAACAATTATGGGGTAATTACTTAAGTCAGAGCTAGCCAGTAAGAAACAAGCAAGGCCAACACCTTCATAATTAATACAGCGTCTTGTGTGTTTATTTGGGACTGATGCGGATCTGGAACCAGGCGGGTGGAACGGCTCCTTCTCAAGGAAAAAGCTTCTCTTAACAGAATGGTTGTCAGGAGCGGGATTGAATTTCCACGCAAAATAACAAAAGATTTAAAGGAATTTTAGAAACAGAAGAACAGAGAGAAGCACAGATTTTTGATAGCAACATTTTCTCAGGTGGGCTCTGTTTTGCTATCGACAAGCCGAGATTCACGTGGCTCGCATACCAGAGTCTTCCTGACTCGGCATAAAAAGAAAAAGGAAAAAAAAAAAAAACAAGGTTGTTTTAAGA